ACACATGCGCAATTACAATTTTTTAATTAAGCGGAAGCTTGTCAATCGAAATAATGTTTCTGCTGCTTACTTGCTCGTTATCTTAAATGCTAATATTTAGATGGGGCTGATCGTAACCAGGGGCATTTTCAGTGCAGTCATAGCAGTCGTATGACACCAAGCTTCCATTTAGAATGTAAGTCAGGATTGTGTCCTTGGTTAATTCTTTTTACAATATAACGTTTTTTAATATTTTGCGCTTGAGACTTCCAAAAGCAGCAATCACTACTTAGTGCGTTCCAATAAACACTCTGCGCCCACAAAAATGTCATGAGACGTCCATATGAGGAAAAGTGAAATGAGTGAGTAAGGAACCGGATCAGGGATTAAGGTCAGGAATTCCCATTCTAGTCTTCCCTTCTTTCTCGGTATTTTTTTCTGTCAATCATATTTGAGGCTGTGGGCTGCTGTCTGGGCTTGTGAGTGATCTCCAAGGCAGTTTGGGACGAGTGAGTCTGTGTCGCTTATTTCTCAGATATTATGCATTCTATTATGTTGTGTAACTAGGAGGAAATTTGTGGTTCTTTTTACTATCTTCGAGAATTAGTTTCTAACTTGGAGCAGATCAGTGTGCTGGAGAGTCTACAGGTGCAGACCAAACGTTGTAGTGAATATTTTGGACGAAATATATCAGCTGCTATGATATAACCGTTTAAAAAGGCTTTCAATAGTATAAATTTCGTGATTGTTTACTGTAATAGCAGCATATGTACTCGCTAAAGACCCAGACACGTGTTCCGCCAATAGTCTCCCGCTGCCGAGCATAACTGCAAGGGGTTCGACAGATGAATGGGTTCCTTAGCATCCTGTGCGCTTTATGGACTTTGGAAAAAAACATGGCGATCAAATTTCGGTCTGCACTGGTAGATCTTTAAAGGATATAAATTGTTCCAATCAGGCGTCCAAACGAAGAAGTTGGCGACCACTTCCATATATTAATAACGTGTCTGAACTCGTTGAAAGACACATGAGGAAGTTTCAACTCCAATTGGCACACAAACCAACGAATACTCCTCGAAGTCAGCCTGTACACCCTAAGGATGGGGTTGGCTATTTGGACAGAAAAGAAGTCATTTACAAAATCTCTTGTAGCGGCTGCAATGCAGTTTATTGCGGACAGACAGGACGATCGGCCTC